TCCAGAGTCAACTTTGGAAATTGAAAGTAAAAGAACCAAAAGAAAGAAAACAAATTGGAAACACAATCATTCTTTTTAGGTCGTTGGGTACAGAGTTTTGATCTTCAATCGAGCTCATGTTTCGACTTCCTCTTGTCACCTTCGACGAAGGTGTTGTTAATGTTGGCGAGATGTATGTGAGTTTTCTTTAGAATTTGTCAACAGAAATGGTTATTTTTAATTCTCAGCTAACATAAAAATCAGTATTATAATTGTACAAGTGTATTTTTATCTTTTAATATATATAACGTAAAATACCAATTATCTCATTAATTTTTGTGAATATATATTGGGCCAAATTTTTGTGAAATTGTGCTAATTGTTTGGCCGGATTTTTTTGAAGATTTTGGTGTCAATGCCATGTCATATTTTTTACAATGCCATGTCACATTAAACTTGTGAGAATGAATTTGGTGATGACACATAAACTCTTTTAAAAAAATTAAAGGATTATGCTGGTATGTGAGTTTGTTATAGGAAAAAAAGACCAAAAATAACGTTCATGCTTTTGTGCGAACACTTCATCAGCGGATTACTTGGGTGATTTCACTTGTTCTTCTTAATACGTTATTTCCTCGGTTTTTAATGATTTAATTTGTTTTCTATAAGGAAAAAAATAAAAGACTTGTCTAAGATGTAACCATCTCTTAATTAGGAAAAAATTAATTTGTTGCCCTACATTATTTTAATTTCCTCATGTCAGTCTTCGCAGCATTTCAATGTGCTATTTTGAGTCTTTATAAGAGTAGGGAAGTAGAAAACTGGATTATCTATGAAAAATTCGTCATCTTTGTCATCTTTTATGCTTTAAGTTCTTTTTGTTTTATACATAGAATACACATAAAATTTTTGAAGATTTTTTTAGAATCAATAGGATAAGCTTGCAAATTAAAAATTTGAACATTAATCTATTTGAGTCAAATGTGACCTTTTTAATGAAATTATCTTTCTAATAAAATCTCCCTTTTAGATTTTTCGTTGATTCTTGGATTTATTACAAAATCATTTTCAAAGAATCCTATCATTTTTTCTCTTGTAATTAACAAATTAGCCTTATTAAGATAAATTAATATATCTTTCGTAAGAAATTTTAATTCCATGTGCTTTATTTTATTAAAATACTTCTTCCGTTTTTCTATGTAAGATGTTTTGGAAGTTTTTTTTTTGTTTCACTATATAAGTTATCATATTTTTATATAGCTTTTACCTTTATTCAATACGATGTAGTCAATAGTATTATGCA